CTTTTCCCTGATTTTGTGTTTCCTATTGGTTTAGTTGCATTCATTGGTGTGCTGTACTTTTTATGCTAATGGTAATGCTTGAATGTGGATATTGAATTTAGTTAATGAAGGATATGAGATTTATATGACACAATGTAACTGAGGTGGTGTAAATATCGTAGAGTTGGAACAATTTGTGTGATAATTTAGGTCCCTTTTGTTTGATGAAAAGATATTAAAAAGTTTGGAACTCTAGTTAAAGTTTGGGATTCTGCAACATTTTATTGTTTGAGTCTTGTTAAATTTTATTAATTTTTTTGTGTGGTTGGTTGTGTTAGTGTTGAAGTAGATAATAGATATGAAAGCACTTGTCTGCTGTGTTTCATGATTAAAGTTTTTCTGTTGTGTTTCAGTTTCTGTTGCTTTCTGAGCTTCAAACTGAAACCTTGGCAGTTGATAAAAACATACATGGAGATTATTTATCTCTTCAAGAAATCATCCCTGCATAGATAGCCTGCTTCCTTCTCCCCAGACATGTGTGCATGCATGGCATTGTCTATTATTGTGATAGATAAACATAGGATTTTCCTCCGTCACTGGTTATTCTCACTTTCTATAGTTTCACCTTCATTTTTATTTTTTATCAACCATGTAGGGATAAGAATGGAGCGTGGGTGTTTATGTCACGTGTCACAGTAGTTGGGAGACTTGTAACATTATTTTCCTGCATTTTTTTATTGTTTTAAGATATGCAGAAAATGTTGTTTGAGATTTGTCGTTAATCAAGGGGGGTCTCTAGTTTATTGGAGGCGTTCTTCTTGATGTTCTTGATAGGTTCTGGAGCATGAAACATTATAAGATGCTGCAGCTGCACAGGGTACTGTGTTCAAGAACTTTTAATGATCCCTTTCAGGACAATCACTAGCTAGTTGTCTCAGCTTCTAGTACTTTAAAGGTGACCTGTCAATCAATATTCATTGGGGCAAAAAATGCCCTACACTTGGCTGTCTTGGTCTCTTTGTGGATTTCAGCTTCTTGGAACTGTCATTAGCCACAATTGGATGGGCTAGAATGCACAAGTTTTCTGATTTTCTTTCTTTTTAATCCCTTAACTTTTTGGAAGATGTCTTGGTTCTCCTTATGTATTTGTGCTCTTCTTCTCTTCGTATAAACATTCATCTTTTGTTGACATAAAGTGTAAGCACATCTTTCATTGCAAAATGCAACAGAGGTGCAGTGAATTGTGATTTGATCATGCCATTAATTTGTCTCCTTAGAAGGTAATTGGACTAACATGTTTTTTTTTTTGTGTTACCTTCAATTCTTCAGATTCCCATGAGCAAGAAGAATAAGAAAGAACGATATCAAGAGGAGTTAGAAGAGCGTGTTATTTCCCTAATTGCATCATTATTTGGTAAGTAGTGAAACCGTTTTAAACATTCTGTTCATGGTTGCCATTAGTCAATACTTAAAGCTTCAAGGACCATTTGGTAACCTATAACAGTAATTGGAGTGGATGCAAATGATGCCCCTTCGCTCTTCCTGGTGTTTGGTTAGCAAACTTAAAAGAAAAAAGAAATGGGAATTGAGATTTTGGCATTTTTTCTTAGTTGATTGATTCAATACAACATTATAATCTTATAATATACAAGATTCTATCTATTAATCTGTTGGCTTTCATACATGGTCACGAATGAGGAGTTGTGGCATTGTCACCTGATGCAAAGTAAATTAATGTCCAAAAATAGTTCTAAAAGTTCACTTATTGGAGGATTGAGTTTCACTTGGTAAAAGCATATCCGGCCTGAAACCAGTGAATCAAATGGATATCCAGATATCTGTCTACCATCAGATCTGTTATCCCATGGTGTTGTGGGCCAATTATATGATGGTGGTAGAGATTGGTAGACCGAAATTGGAGTCATATATGGTACTCTTCTATTTGTAATATATTTATGCAAACCTTGTTTTCATCATACTGGATTTCATATTACCTGAAGACTGGAGTTAAATTGTACACAACTAAATTAACATGAAAAAAATGAATTATACAAAGAATTTTCAGTTGCTGGATATTATGGTACCCCCACCCCCCAAGAAAACCACAGATGTAATCTACTTTCCTGGTGTTTCTTTCTTTTCCAGGTGGAATTTTGAGAGGTTCAAGAAGGGAGAGACTGCTAAGTAAATTTGTGGAAAATGAGTGTGAGAAGATAGACCGCCTTATGGAACTCTATATAAGGTAATATATATATTTTTTTTTGAATTTCTACCTATGGATTTTGAACAGTTGCCCTATTCCTCCACCCTTGTTCCTCTCTACCCTCTTGCTGCTGCAGAGGAGGCAGGGGTGTTGCTGTGAATTCTGTTTCTAATGTCTATATTCAGACCTTAACACCTGATTAATGATGATCTTTACTCAGATATTCAGATAGAGTGAAAGAAGAGACTAAACGAATGGATGAGCTTGAATTGGATGATCTTGAGGTACATCACATTTGCTTTTTTGTTGTCTTGTCCATATTTGACATTGAAACCACTTTGTTTACAATGGGTTGTGTGTTATACAGATGGATGGAGATGAAAGATATAATCGAAAACTAGAATCTGGACTGTACACCCTTCAGGTTAATTTCTATTCTAGTGGCTTTTGGTCAGAATTGTCTATGAAATTGTTTACTTTATTGATGGACATGCACAAGTTGTGGGATATATCATGTAGTTGGTGGTAGGAAGTTATCATTGATTGACGGCTGTAATTTAGATCTTGCTACTGTAATTCAATCAGTATGTAATTTTTAGTTTGAGGTCTTTTTAATTAGCATTGCTATGGAAAGTTAATATCAAGCACAGATATTGGTCATTTAAAATAATCTGGAAAAGTTTCTGATACAAAAGTTATCTGGATAAGTTCCTGATTGAAAAAACCATTTATCTGAGTTTCAACATGTTTCTGTCTCTGATTTTCAATAGTTTTGTGCTTTCAATATCTCAGCTCTGTTTTTTGTTTTAACCTGCAGTCGATAGCCATTATTCTGGGCCATCTTTGGTGCTCCGAGTAAGTTTCCCATCAACCATAATTTTATCAGCTCATTAGAGGAGCTTTATTTGTAGATTATATCTTTCCTTAATTTTGAATTCTTAAGATGATTTGTGGGTTTATCTTCAGGCACCCTCGAATGAGGGCAAGGATTGAGCTATTATTGAAGCAGCAAAAGCTTACTAAGAGCGATGTTAAGGATATACTTCTGGTATGTGCTTTGTAGCTGCATCTAGATTCTGTCCAGTGACCTGTGTTATTGGTGATGCCCATTCTTATAAAACATGTTCATTGTTATCTGTGAAGTGAACTTGTAGCACTGTCTGAAAAGAAATTAACAGTTCAGACTATTAAGAACATATTTTCACATTATAAAAGGGTATGGGTGTAGAATCCATATATGGAATACCAAAATAGTCATAAATAATCACATGGGATATAAAAGAATGAAATATGTAGAAATGGTAGCCTCAAATTACAAATTGTAATTTTCCATCAAATTGCACTACATAAAAACTTCATTGAACTGGCAAATGCCATAACGTAGCAAGTACCTTTTGTGTGATGCTTCCTTTTATGAATCATATATAGGAATATCATGATAACATTGGTGACCTCGATGGCCCTGAAGAGAAGGAGCGAGTGCAAGCAAGAGTTCTGAAATTTATATCAGCCTTCGAACTTTCATAGAGGCCTAGTTTTGTTGATAGGATTGAAGGTTACTGTTGTACAATGGTCCAGCCCTCACACTTTCTTAGAGGCTTAAGATGTTTTGATAGGGTTGAAGCATGCTCTTGTAAAATCTCATTAAGCCGTTTATCAAATGGAGCCCCCATGAAGTGGGAAAGTTTAGAAGTGATTATGTGCATTATTATTGTTCAGATGCATCTCTGTAAACTTCTGTATGCTTGTGGTGGCGCATTCCTATGTGGTTATGAGGTTTCCATGCCTTTCTCTGACTTGAAGCAGAAATTTCTTTTCTTCTTGTTTTTTTCTTCCTTTTCTTTTGAACTCACCCGTGAACGTAATTTGCCATGGTATGCTAGTGGTATGGATCCCGTTTATACGGTAATAACGTGCTAGGAAAATGGACTCTCTCCTCGAAGGATAAATGCAATCCTGGAGCATCTGTACTACTGTATCCAAGAGTTTCAAATGTCATAAAAATAGTTTCTTGATGCTAAATCCAAAATCGTAAAAAAGCTGGAAGCAATAAATCTCAAGAAATGATGCTTTACTTTATGACTGCAACTTCAGCTTGAGGCAACTTGCATGCGCTGCCAAGGAATCTGCTAGCTTCCTTTCTCTGTAAAATCACAGTAAGGTAAATCATCTTAAGATCTTTCAGGCACACATGATGAAACAAGCCTAGAGCCTTGAATAAAATCTCATAATGATCATCAAAATGGATATTTTATTGGCTTGGGGTGCAATTAAAGTTGACTGAATTCAAGAAATATATGGAAGAAATTGTTGATCATCAAAATCATGCTTAAATATTGGTGGTATTGGCTGCTGCTGCTTCTGCAAATTCAAGGTTTGATCTTCCAATATTTGTTGATTTTAGGGTTTTGGTCGTTAAAATGAAGGAGACTGGAGTCAAGGTCTAGGCAATGAGAAAAGAGAATCACATGATGTTAATTAACTGTGTCCTGTTGGTAATTTTTTAACCTAAAATTAATTAACAGTATATCATCACTATCAAAATTGACAATTCAAGAAAAGCACCAAGGGTCAGATTCTTGGGAAAAAAATGTGGCAAAAGTACGATAAGTTAATTACAACCGAAGAAAAGAATATTCATAGGGCAATGTCAGCAAAATAAAGAAAATACAAGCATTGTGTTGCCTTGACATGGAAGTTAAATAATTTAAGCAATCTTTTAGCTAGAGATGAAGAGGTATGCCTCTTTGAAAATAACTTCACTCCCTTCTCGATCATTCTTCCTATCAATCACTTCTCCTCTCCACTCAAAAAGAAAATGGAAGAATTTGCAACCGACATTGCAAAATCCCTTTTAGGGAAGTTAGGCTCTTCTGCAATTAAAGAACTTTATCTGGCATGGGGACTTAAAGCTGAAATTGCAAGTCTTGAAGAGAAATTGTTAGCCATCAATGCAGTTTTAATGGATGCCGAGAAGAGACAGTCTCAGAACGAGAAGATTCGGTTCTGGCTTCAGAAGCTCCAAGAATTCATGTATGATGCAGAGGACGCACTGGATGGATTTGAGTGCGAAGATTTGAGAAGGCAAGTGGTGACAACAACAGGGAGCACTAGCAGGAAGCTACGCCGCTTCTTTTCAAGTTCTAACAAGCTAGCTTTCCGTTTTAAAATGGGTCGTAAAATAAAGGACCTCAACGACAGGCTAGCCGAGATTGAATCTCTGAAGTCTCTGCTTGGCCTTCCCGAGCAGACTAGTGATCATAGTTCAGTCTTGCCTGAGGAAATATCAGAGATGAAACAATCCTTTGAGAGCTTTTCCGGTCTTATTGGAAGAGACAAAGACAGGGAATGCATCATCAACCTCTTAGTAGAACCTTTCAAGGTTGATGACGCTCATCCCTTTGTTATTCCAGTAGTTGGAATGGGTGGTTTGGGGAAGACTGCTCTTGCCAAATCGGTGTATGATGATGGAAGTGTGGATGCCTTTTTTGAGCTAAAGATGCAGGCATGTGTTTCAGATGGATTTGCTCTCAAACAAGTGATGCAAAAGATGATCAAATCTGCAACTGGGGAAAGATTTAACGACTTGGAAGAGATCGAAATAAAAGCAAAACTAGGAGCGATTTTGCATGGTAAGAAATACCTGCTTATTTTAGATGATGTTTGGAACGAAGACTCCCAGAAGTGGCTCTTGCTGAAGCCTATATTATCAAAAGGTGCACTTGGAAGTAAGATCATAGTAACCACCAGAAGTAAACGTGTTGCACAGATTATGGGTTCTGCTGGCGCGCATGAGTTAAGTCTTCTTGATCAAAAGGATTGTCTGTCTTTGTTTTACAAGTGTGCATTTAAGGAAAGGCAGAAGGAGCAGCATCCAAATTTGATAGAAATTGGGAAAGAAATAGTGGGCAAATGCAAGCAAATTCCTCTGGCAGTAACCAACTTGGGAACTCAACTTTATGGTATAACTGATGAAAGGGAGTGGAAATTGGTAAGAGATAGTGAGACCTGGGAAGAGAAGGAAGATGGTATTTTACCTGCTTTAAAAATAAGCTATCAACGACTCTCAAATCACTTGAAAAGATGCTTTCTTTATTGCTCGATCTTTCCAAAAGATTATGACTTCACGGATGCCGTATTGGTGCAGTTTTGGATGGCACAGGGACTGGTTCATCAATCATCACATCCAAGTGAAAACTTGGAAGATGTTGGGATTCGCTATGTGCGTGAGTTGATCTCAAAATGTTTCTTCCAAGACGTTAACGATTTGCTTTTTGTACTTAGCTTTAAAATGCATGATTTAGTGCATGATCTTGCATCATCATTGGCTCAAAATGAATGTTCAATCCTACGCTCAAATAACCACCAAGTTTTCAAAACTGCCAGACATTTATCAGTTGTTGACTCCAACTCTTTTTTCCAAGCTCTTCCTAAGTTCCCAAATGAGATAGAGCGTGTGAGAACGCTTATTTTTGTAACCAGTCTAGAGGAACCTGTTATGTGTGTGGACACAAATGGACGGTGGCAGCCATGGTAGGGGGCAGCCATGTTTGGTGG